CCCAGAGGCACCACATCCCCCAGGTGACACTGACCCTGGGGACAGGGATCCATCTGGGGGTGACACCGGGTCCTAGCCGGGTGTTTTGAGGTGCGGGATGGAGAGGAGAATATCTGTGGGGTTCCAGTCTCCAGTGCCCCTGTCACTGTAGCCCCCAGCGTGCTGTGATGGCACCGGACGCCTGAGCCCCTCCGGTGGGGACAAGCCATGGAGACCGTTGTCATTGTGGCCATCGGGGTGCTGGCCACCATCTTCCTGGCGTCCTTCGTGGCGCTGGTGGTGGTGTGCAGGCAGCGCTACTGTCACCCCAAGGATCTGCGCCACCACTACGACACCAAGTGAGTGACCCACGGGGGTGGCAGTGTCCCTGTCCCCACCAGGGAGGCACCTCAACCCCCATGGGCTGGGGACAGTGCTGGGGACATGTTCAGCATCATCACGGAGACAATCTGGGGGACATGTCCACGGTAATCGGGGAGACAAAGATGGGGACGCATCCAGCATCATCAGGGGGACAGAGATGGGGACACATCAGCCATCATCAAAGGGATAAAGCTGGGGACATGTCCAACATCATCCAGGGATTAAAGATGGGGACACAGCCACTGTGACCAGGGGGATGATGCAGGCAATGTCCAGCATCATCAGAGGGAAGATGCCTCCATCTTGTCCCAGTTTGGGACACATCCACATCACCAGGGGGACAAAGATGGGGACACGTCCACCAGTATCAGGGCCACTGGGGCTGTGGGGCAGCCCAAGGAGGTGGCCCTTGGTGGGATGTCCCCCATGTCTCTGACAGACCCATCGTGGACCTGATGGGGACCATGGAGACGCCGTCAGAGCCCTCGGAGCTGGAGCTGGATGACGTGGTCATCACCAACCCCCACATAGAGGCCATCCTGGAGAACGAGGACTGGGTCGAGGATGCCTCGTGAGTGCCCCCACTGCTGGGGACCCCTGTGCAGTGCCAGCCCCCCATCATGGGATGTAGGGGACAGATTTGGAGGTCACCAAGCCATGGGGATGGTCCTCAAGATGGTCTTGGATGGGAATATCCCCACAGGTCTGGGGGACAAGGGATGTCAGAAGAGGGGAGACACAGGGGACAAGGACAGAGCAGGGGGGACACAGGTGGATTCACACCCTCTTTCTCCACAGGGGTCTGGTGTCCCACTGCATTGCCATCCTGAAGGTGAGTGAGGGCGTGGCACTGGTGGTAGTGGTGACACTGGTGGGACGGGTGACACTGGTGGCAATGGCAGCACTGGTGGTACTGGTAGAGCTGGTGGCAGTGGTGGCACCAGTGGCACTAGTGATGTTGGTGTCAGTGGTGGGCAGCAGTTGTGGTAATGGTGGCAGTAGTGACATTGTTGGTACTGGTGGCACTGGTGCTGATGGTAGGTGGCACTTGTGGCACTGGTGTTGATGGGCACTGAATGGCCACTGCTGTCCCCCAGATCTGTCACACACTGACGGAGAAGTTGGTGGCCATGACCATGGGCTCGGGCACGCGCGTGAAGTCCCCAGCCAGCCTGGGTGACATCATCGTGGTGGCCAAGCGCATCAGCCCCAGGTGACGGGATGTTTGGGGGGGTCTCTTGGGTGGGGTCCTTTGGCTCTGGGGTGTCTACAGGGATGGGGGGAAAATTCCAGGGCTCTGGAGGGGCTCCAGAGATTTGGGACAGGGTGGGTCTGGAGGGGTCCTGGGGGCTCTGGGGACATCCCAGGGCTCTGGGGGGAGTCCTGAGGCACTGGGGAGGACCCTGGGGACTCTGGAGGGAAACATGGGGACTTTAGGGGTGTCCAGGGACTCTGGGAGGCGTCCCAGGGTCCTGGGGTAATTTTGGGACTCTGGGAGGTGTCCTGGGGTTCAGGGGGATCCTGGGGCTCTAGGGAGGTCGCAGGGCTCCAAGAGAGCTCTTGAGGCCTGGGGTGGCTGTGCTGGAGGTGTCACCAGTGTCCCCTGGGATTAACGCTGTCCCCACCGCAGAGTGGATGACGTTGTGAGATCCATGTACCCCCCGCTGGACCCCAAACTGCTGGATGCGAGGTGACAGTGGCGAGAAGGACAGGGACTCTCCTGGGTGGGGAATACCTGTGGGTGGGGACACCCCCACATCACCTATCGCACCTCTGGGGACAACCCCACTCTGGGGACAAGCCCAGGTCATCCAGCAGGACAGGGAGGCCCGTTGGTCTGAGCAGATCCCAGAATATCCCAGGTTGGGAGGGACCCCAAGGCTCATCCAGTCCCACCCCCGTCCCTGCCCAGACACCCCAACATCCCACCCTGGGCATCCCTGGCAGCGCCATCCAAACCCTCCTGGAGCTCTGGCAGCCTCGGGGCTGTGCCCATACCCTGGGGAGCCTGGGCAGTGCCAGCACCACTGGAGGAAGAACCTTTCCTGAGATCCATCCCAAACCCCCTGTGACACAAGCTCAGGCCATTCCCTGGGTCCCATCCCTGGTCACCAGAGGCAAACTGCTGCTGAGGGAGCCACCATGGGGCAGGGCGGGAGGTGACAGTGCGGTGACAGGGAGGTGACAGGGCAGTGAGAGCCCCGTGTCCCCGCAGGGCCGCGGCGCTGCTGCTGTCGGTCAGTCACCTGGTGCTGGTGACCCGCAGCGCCTGTCGCCAGCCGGCCGCTCGCCACTGGGTCGAGCGGTCACTGGCGGCCGCCGAGGAGCACATGGCCGTGCTGCGCCAGGCTGCCATGGCCACCGAGCCCGAGCGGCCGCCGGGCCCCGGCGAGCCCCCCCGCCAGGAGCAGTCAGCCATCTGACCCCAATAAAGGCCCTGTGTGCCCCCAGCCCCGCACGGGCGGCTCTGGGATGGGCTGGTGCTGTGCTTTCTGCATGGAGATGGGTCTGGGGAGAGAACGGGGGTGTTGAAGGGGAGGTTGGGGGTCTAGG